AACCTTTTTTTTGACAAATTCAAATTTAAATCTCAATACATCTGCCATACGGGTAGAAAAGAAAGTTCTCCACACAACATTGTAAAGATCACACCTCTGTAGTTTATTTCGCAAATGATAACTAGCATGCTTAGCCTTAAGCTGGAATTTTTTTATACTCTTTTCGCAAACACAATTAAAATGCAATCATTTAATGTCCCTGAGTCTGAACTCATATCGCAACGTGAAATCTACTTCACCTCCTAACTAAACAACATGAAAAGATCCTTCATCACACCCACAACTGGGGGCTATACATCAGATCACGATGGAAATCAAGCACCAGATAGTTCTTGCTGCCCCAAAGCAGACCCTTCTCGTCTCATTCAATTCATATGAACATATCTCGCAGTCACATCACACTCATCACGTAACTATCCAGTCATCACTTCCCTTAATAGGGACACAATCTAACATATTGATCCAGAAACACACACTCGTGCAATCAACAGCTCAGGGATCAAGCTATAGGCAAAATCTGACCTCAAGTCTTCTAGACTGGCCCAATATCAACACACAGAGATCACATCTCGCCCTCGATTAGGGAATCACAAGCCATCGATGCATAGCTGATATCGAGCACTCATGTGCGCATACGAACGCGTGGAAGGAATTCAAAGAGTTACATTTCAAGTTGAATCAATGATGCACGATAAGAATTCAAGAGTGTGGAATTTCCTAAAGGTTCTGTAGCTTCTCAAAGATAAGTACAGACGTATCTATACCGATCTGCAAGACTCTACTAAACCGGCTCATGACTCGCGAGACCTATATAATGTAGGCTCTGATACTAACTTGTCACGACCCCAAATACCCGGTCGTGATGGCGCCTATCATATTACTAGGCAAGCCAACCCAAAACCATTAACCATAACAAATTTCTTTTATAAAACCATTTTCTAACACGGATTTAAATCCCAATTTTTCATAAGAAATGTTTAAGACAGTTGAAAATGTGCGTAATCAATAAAATATTAAACCAACATAGCCCAAACATCTGGTGTCACGAGTCTAGAGCCTCTAAATATACAAATCTGACTGTCTAATAAATAACAAGTCTAAAATACGGGAAAACAAAGATAAGAGGAAGAAAGCAGGGTTGCGGACGCTATGCAGCTACCTTGCAGTCTCCAGCAAACTCTAACAATGCTGAGGACCCTCACTCTACCGCTCCGGTACATGGATCTACACACAAGGTGCAGGGAGTAACGTGAGTACGCCCAACTCAGTAAGTAACTAAAGTAAATAAGGTCTGAAAGCAGTGACGAGCAGTTTAAATCATATAGAAGAGCAAACGACAGAATATCAAGTCAAACTCATCAATTTTAAAACTAGTTTCTTCATAAAGCTTCAGTTTCATTTGAAATACTTTGAATTCATTTACTTAGTAGATTTCATTAGAGGCTTATGTTGAAAGAAGAGTGAAATCAGCAAAATATTATAAATGGGCCCCTCGGACAAGGTATCACTCATAAATATAGCCCTTCGGGCAAGCCTCTCAGTCACTCGTGACTCAGCTCTCTTCACTCGGTACTCACACTCAGCCTTCAGGCTCCACAATATTTCATAATAGTAATAATCATAATAATCGATGCAGNTATATATATATCGCTGCAGCGTGCAGCCCGATCTATAAAAGTATTGTTGCGGCGTGCAGCCCGATCCATAATATATACTTATAATATTGTTGCAGCGTGCAGCCCGATCCATATAAGTATTGTTGCGGTGTGCAGCCTGATCCATAATATATACTTATAATATTGCTGCGGCGTCCAACCCGATCCATAATATTTATATTCCTCACCATTAGGTCCTCAACCTCTCTCAGTCATTAACCTCACAGCCACTCGGGTGTAATAGTAGGAATCAGGGAACTCAGTCCGAACAATTCTCACATTTAAGAAGTAGAGTGACAAAACCAGTTTTAAACAGTAAACAGGTAAAACATGACTAATGATATGCTTTTAATCAAATAGAGTGAGAAAAAATAGTAAAAATGTCTCTAAGGGTCTCAACAGGTCGGCACAAGGCCCCAACATGGCATACAACCCATAATACAACCTAAATGTCTAAATCATGAGATATCATAAGATTTCAAATCAAGTACGTGGTTTAATAGTCGCTACGGGACGGACCAAGTCACAATCCCTACCGGTGCACGCTCGTCACCTAGCATGTGTGTCACCTCATTTATCAAAACAATTCGAAATACCGGGATTTGTACCCTCAGTTCCAGATTTACAATGGTTACTTACCGCAAACCTAGCAAAAAATCCTACTCCGCAATGCCTTTGCCTCTCAAGTCGGCCTCCAAACGTCTCGAATCTAGCCATAATTAACTCGATTCATTCAATACATATTATAGAAATTAATTCCATATGAAAATAATAATTTTCCAACAAAATCCGATATTAACCCAAAAATCGCCTATGGGGACCATGTCTCAGAACCTAACAAAAGTTACGAAATATGAAATTCCATCCAACCACGAGTCCAACCATACATATTTCACCAAATTCCGACATCAATTCGACCTCCAAATTCTCAAATCAAATTTTCAAATCTCTAGGCCTAAACTTTCGGATTTCACTCCAAAAACAAGTAATCTAGTAGGGATATTCAATGATAATCTCATATTATTGACTAGCAATGACTACAAGTGACTTATTTCAAGTTTTCCCATGAATTCTTGCTCAACAATCAACCAAAACCGAAATTGAAGACTAGGGTATAGAACCTTACCTCTTTGATGAAGAACTTGAAGGATTTCTTGTTGGATTTCAGGGCTTGAATGAGATTTTTTACGAACAAGGCACTTGAGCTTCTTCCTCTCTCTAGATATGCTCTCCCCTCTCTCTAAAAGCTCCATAAATCCCCAAAATAATGAACCTCAAAAGAGTTAAATGAAATGGGGTTCGGGTTTTAAAAACCCATTTTAGTACAGCCGCGGCGCGTGGGGCGCCGTGGGGCACGGGGCAGTTATGCAAAATGTGTCTAAAAATGAAATTTCATATCATTCTGGAATTTCCTAGTGGCGCGGCGCGCCAGGTGCTACGTGGGGCGGCGCGGTAGTACAATTTCCGGTAGTGTTTGGTAATTTAGCCATAACTTCTTGTATGAGTGTCCAAATGATGAACGGTAATCTTCAGAAAATAAGGTGGGAAAAAGGTTCGATTGAGAAGGATTTGGATCATCGTTTGGTTGCAATATTAGTGGAGCTTTATGTTAAATTTGGTAAAAATAGCACGTTATAGCCAGTTTTCCGACTGGTCATTCATAAATAGCCAGCGTTTACGAATTCAATAAAAAATAGTCACTATTTTGCTGCAACAGAGACCGATCCAACATAATATACTGGAGTTCGGTGCACCTGTGTATGAACTCCAGCATATTATGCTGGATCGGTATATTTTGCTGACTTCAGTATAATATACTGGAGACTGGAGCACTGGTGCTCCAAACTCCAGTATATTATATTGGACAATTATACTTGCTGGAACTCCATCATATTATGCTGGAGTTACAGTATACTTATCCTGGAACTCCAGTATAATATGCTGGAATTCAAGCATACTTATGCTGGAACTCCAGTATAATATACTGGCGTATTTTTCGGGTTTTGAACAGTGTTTTCGCTCAGATTTATCTTTACATGAAAAGTGGCTATATTTCGATTACTTTTGAAACTGAGCTATTTTTGAACGACCGGATATAAATCTGGCTATTTTTTAATTTCTCCCTTAAATTTGACGTCTTCATAATTGCACTTTCTCTTTCTGTTATTTTCTTTTTTAGTTTTTTTTTGGGGGTTTTGAAAGCATTTTCTTTTGTACATATGACTAGTATCTTTATTTTTAAAACTCAAATCTTTACAATATATCATAACAAAGGCAGGCCGACAGAACTAGCTATTTACGACTTTATGGCAACATTAACCCACTAGCTAAATCAACCAAAGAACTAGATTAAAAATCAAAGAACAAATATCAGCAAATATAGATGTACTTAAACCCACGTACCCTTTTTAAACCCACGCCTGCACCGCACCCGTATAAATGTTAAATATTTTTATTTTGACCAGCATCATCCCGCATGTATCTAAACCCGCATCACCACGCACCCGCACCGCCCCGTTGCCATCCCTAAATAAAGTGAAGAATTGTATTCTTTTACAAGTTCAAAAGCTTTCAAAGATATACTACTAACAATTTTGGCGACTTTTTGTGAACATTGTTTTAAAGCGTCAAACAAAAAAAATCTAGCTAAAATGACAATTCAAATTTCTTGAATAAATTAATTAAAAAACAACAAACATCCATGAAATAATCAACTAACACATACTTAACAACAATGCGCTGTAATTTTTTTCTTTGGTCCGGTATCCGAAATTCACCGACTTGATTAATCAAGATCTTTTTTTTGTCGATTAATCAAGATTCACGCTATAAAAAGCTGACTATAGGGTTTTAGTGATCCCTGCTGAAAGATAACTTCATTCCAACGGTTGAAAGAACCTTTATAATTCAACCACACCTTGGTATGGGGTAGCCGTGATTTTTCTTTTCTCATAATTCCTATTTTTTTGGTTTCTTTTTCTAGGTTCTACATGAACTATTTGAAGGATGCATTGGCGTAACTGGTAAAGTTGTTGCCATATGGCCAAGAGGTTACGGGTTCGAGCCGTGAAAATAACCTCTTGCAGAAATGCAAAGTAAGGTTGTATACAATAGACTCTTGTGATCCGACCCTTCTCCGAATTTCATACATAATGAAAGTTTAATGCACCGAGCTATCTTTTTTTTTTTTTTTT